CTCTCTCTCTCTCTCTCTCTCTCTCTCTCTCTCCCTCCTTCTCTCTTTATCTTTCTCTTTTATTCGTCTTTCGTTCTTCCTCTTTCTCTCTATATTAATTAAATATATTTAACTTTGTTTTCTTTAACTCTATTTTCTTTAACTGTCAAACTGTCAAAAGACATAAACTGTCAAACTGTCAAACGACACGAGTGAAGCAAGCGTAAATACAACAAGCTCGCCGCGCAACTCGACAACCAATCAGACACGCGGTAAAATGGCAACAATACGTGCGATACATATCGACTCAAAACGCACACTTCTCGGTACAAATGACTTTTTTTATAGAGGATCTCTAAAAAACGGAAGAATTAATTCAGGTTGAAAATTACTTAGTTTTGAAGTTTTTATCAAGTCTGGTATTTTAATAGTAATACCAGTACTTGAAATCAAAATATTATCTGTCTTTATTAAAGCTAATGTTTGAAGTCTATGTGCGGTAGCTAATGCTAAAAGTGTCGCAGTCTTTTCTGCTACTTCTTTGGCCTTAAATTGGTTCAAAGGATTAATATTTTCTAAATAGTTAAGTACCGGTGCAGTGTCCCAGATGCTAGAGTACTTGGGTTTTGTAGGTTTTTGTTTGAAAATCCCTTTAAAAAACCGTGATATTAGAACATCACTAGAGATATCACGTAAGGAGATAAGAGAGATAGCCGATCTTGTTGAATTTAGTGTACCATAGCTAGCGCCTTCTTTGAATCTTTTTGTTAAAAAACTTATAATCGCGGGCGTATCTGCTTGAAACATATTAATGCTGTTTACCGATGCAAAGTCCCACCATAATTTTAGATGAGCTTGATATTGTTTGAGTGTCGAAACTGTTATGGAGTTAATCATAATATCCACTGAGTCTTCATTGATTCCTTTCTTCAGGAACGCCATCCGGATAAGTTCCCTACCACCAATGAAAGTTTTGACGCCAGCGGGTGTGACCATCGTCTACAGAGAGATAATAATAAGTTATCGTGTGGATCAAAAATTATAGGTGGAGCAGATAAGAGTGAAGCAAAGAATGGATACCAAGGCTGAGCTGGCCAGAAAAGAACGACCACTGTGCCCTCAGCCTTATCTGCAACTATTTTTTGTAGTGTTCTCGCGATGAGAGCGAAAGGTGGAAACGCATAGAGTTTTTCGTTTTTCCATGTAACTGTAAAAGCATCTACCACCTCTGCATCCGGTTGCGGATATCTAGAGTAAAAACGCTTACATTTTCTGTTCGATCTAGAAGCAAATAGGTCTATTGTAAATGGACCCCATTCTTTATTTAATTTTTTAAAAGCTTCAGGAGCTAATTCCCACTCAGTATCTATATTAGTTACTCTAGAAGCCGCATCCGCCTCCACGTTTTGTTTTGAGGGAATATACGATGCAAAGATCCAAATTTTTCGGCTTTTGCACCACTGCCAGATCTTTTTGGCTAACTCACTAAGGTGAGGAAATTGAACACCTCCTGTTCTATTTATGTAAGATATTGCAGATGTATTATCCATTCTTAGCAGAATTTCGCAGTTATACAATGAAGGAGCAAAACATTTAAGTGCAAAGAAAGCCGCTAGTAATTCAAGGTAATTGATACTATAATGTTTCTCATGTCGATTCCAGAAACCTTGGCTACTAGATCCTTGACAGTGAGCTCCCCAGTCAGTTAATGAAGCATCTGAAGAAATTTCTAGGGCGAATTTAAGAATTCTAATAGGGTTGCACCCTGTCTGTGAGTTTTCTTTCCACCAGAGTAAGTCATCAGACATGGCTTTATTTATATAAATCTTTCCTTCATAATCATTGTCATTTAGGAGTAGTGCCAAGAATTTCTGTCTTTCTAAACGTTTACAGTAAATTGAGCCGTATGCTGTCGCCGGACATGCCGCTGTTAGCACCCCGAGTACTCTAGCCACCTCACGAATTTTATAGCAACTTCCTATCTTGAATTGATTAGTCAGATTTGCGATCTGCAGTTTTTTCTTTTCAGTTAACTCTAGTCTAAATTCAGCAGAATTAATTATGAAACCTAAATATTTACATTTTTGGCTTGAAGTTAATGAGCTCTTCGAATAGTTTATTGCAAAACCTAAATGTTCCAGCAGGTTTATTGCTTCATTTATATTAGTTAGACACCTATTAAAGGATTTATGTATAAAGAGAAAATCGTCAATGTAAATTAGAGATAAAATGCCCATTGTTCTCAATTTATGCATGACTGGTTTCATAATTTTTGTATAAATGTACGGACTTGTAGATAGTCCAAAGGGTAGACAAGTAAATTGGAACAGTTTGTTCTTGAATTTGAATCGTAAATATTTTCTGTGTTTATATGTATTGGAACAAGAAAATATGCGTCCTTTAAATCAAGGGAGCACATATATGCCCCCTGAGTTAATAAGCTTTTAACTGAACAAATGTCCTCCATTTTAAAATGACAGGTATCTATAAATTCGTTTAACTTTTTTAGGTTAATAATAAACCTGCTAGAACCATCAGATTCCGGAACCAGAAAATAAGAAGAGACAAACTGTCCTTCGCAATCTTCACATTCTTCAACTGCATTTTTGGACATTAAATTGTTGATCTCCAGAGCAATTTTTACCTGATCTGATTCTGACCAGACAAAATCCTTAGATGATTTGTCTTGGCGAGGAGTTTCTCTGAAAGGAATCTTATATCCTTTCAAGCAGTTAAAAATATATTTGTCAGTAGTGATCTCTTTCCAATGGTCGATGAAAAGTCTAAGACGACCTGCTTGGATTCTTACCTCCTTTACTTCTTCGTCGACGTCGATTGGCTTGACGTTCGACTCGAGGGTTTTGATGCACCTTGGCTTGTTCTTTGGCTCCGTGGCTTGAATTTGATTGTTGATCGTCTCGGATACGTCCCCACCTGCCTGTACCTGGCAGGTGGGTATTTCAAGTTTCCCTGATTTCGTGATTTATATGTCGATACTTTTGGTTTATCTTGGGCTCTGATTTTTGCACACGCCTTTCCGATTGCCTGAACTTCTTTAACCTGTTCGGCAAATTTGTTTCCATACAGCCATTCATCCGATGTAGTAGCCTCAATTGTGGGTTTAACGCCCTTATTTAGCAAAGGAGTGATAAAAGATTTTCTGGCCACAGATTGCTGATAAAAAACGTCAGACAATAACTTTCCAGCATCACAAAGATATTTTGTGAGCATTCCCTGATCAATGCCGTCATCGGGATCATCGAGAATTAATGAAACTGCAGCAGCCAGAGCTGATATTGCAGAATCTACACAGTTTTGTGTCTCAAGAAAATGATGGTCTCTTTTAATAGTAATCTCGGACAAAATTGGAACGATTTCCAAATTAACCTTGGGAGCCTCAGAATATAATTCTTGTTTCCTTGGATACTTTTGTAGGATAGCTTTCTTGTTTTCCTCCGGAAAACCTTCCTGCATCCATTTCTCCCATCTGCGTTTGAGCTCTGGATGGAACTTGATTGTCAATTCTTTATTTGCATTGGGATCGTCCCCCAATAAATCCAATATATCCTCGGGAATGACCGACTCATCAGTTATCTCATCAACAGATGAATTTTCTATGTGCTCAGATGGAATCTGCTCTACTGAGGAAACAGTTTGACTATCCAGGATTTCTTTGTTTTCAGTAATATCTGAAAAAGGAACACAGAAAAAAGGAAGATAGGAGGGTAAACATATTTTTGAATAAAAAAAATATGTCATTTATCGTGTGGCTTATTGCCAGTGGCATTCGTGTGAAATTGCCACTCCATTCGTTCTGTACATCCTGAAATTGTCGTTGTCGTGTGGACATGACATAAGTTTGACATTCGTTTGGAATTGTCTAACTTCATAACCAAGCTTCGTAAACAAAACTTGTAAGCTGTGAATGTATGTTCTTATTGAACTTCTTTCACAGATATTTTTTTTTTTTATGTTGTCGTATGGACATAGCGCTTTGGCGTTCGTGTGGAACTGCCGCGCTTTAATTAGGTTATAAATATGTTTCGTATGGAAACCTGCATAACTCTTGTTTAGACCTTCGTATGGAATGTCAAAATATGATGCAACTATGAAAGTTTCGTGTGGAAACTATCATAACTTGCACCTACCAGGGCGTTGGGTCAATTGACCGAGTATGCTAGTGAGGTTATTCAGCTGAGTCTGGAGGTTTTCCAGCTTTTCTTTCGTCTCGTCCCTACTTCTTCTACGATCCCTTGATCGAGATCGAGTACGCTTCCTTTTCCTCTCATGCGGCATTTCTATTAGTACCCTTGTTGTCGAAAATTCGGTTTTTAACTTGAGAGCTATACTCGAAACGTAATCAAAATTTTGCACAACAAAACAATATAACGACGGAAGGCGCGTAGACCCTCTACTGGGGCCCGGCGCACCAGTTTCAAATTCTATACTCTGAAATGTTGTGAGATTTGTGCAATGCGAAGCATTACTACCTGTTATCATCGAGAACGAGACGTGTAATATAATTATTATTTTTTAATTAATAATAAATTTTATTGCATTTATTTATCGCATTTTATTAATATTTTAATATATACGTATTATTTTATATTAAATAAGATTATATTATAAATATAGTTAATGTAGCATAATATAAATAATTTATTAATTATTCGGTTTGGTTGCAAATGAAATTCTATTCGCTCAATTTCTTTGTTACAAACAATAACTTGTATTCTATTTTGCTGTTTAATATTTTTAGGATATATATCTGTTTATGATGAAATAGGACCAAAAAGGTTATTTATTAAAAATGTCTTTATTTATTTATTATCTTTTTATAGAATTTATACCCTTTTATCAACTGTTTTATTAATATTTAATTAATTTTTTAGCTATTATTATTTATAATAAATTTTAATAATTTAAAAAATTTAACATAAACAAAATTAATCGTTTTATCTGTGGTTGGATCATATTTACAGTTATAATCTTTATATG